ATTACATTGTTGAAATAAATATTTTACTAATTTAGCTTTGGTTTGAACTATAATTTGAATCTTGAACTAATTAGGTTACATTTGGATTAATTAATTTAATGATTTCATCTCGTTAAGATTAAGATGCTCATTAGTTAATATATAATTAATTCGTCTTATTTATTTCATACCCAAATCACCAACTAAACCTAATTTGGCTAATTTGTTAAAATTAGCTATGATGGAAATTAACTAGACTCTTCCCTCAATAGAAATCCTAGCCTTGTCCCTTTCGCACTCTTGGATCAGTCTTTCCAAACCAATTTCGGGCCCAAATAACTTGCCCTTTATATTTTTCAATTAAGCCAACCCAAATTATTCTCCTGAAATCTTGACCCAACCCATTTACTTGAACAAACCCATTTCTCTATTTCCAAAAGAAACCCAACAATGTTCTTTTCTCCTTTTCACAATAACATATCGTGGCAAAGTTCACGGCGAAGACATAGCAATACACGTTGTAGTTCACAGAATGAGCAAGCCGTGTAGCAGTACGATGTGAACTTGTTATATTTTTCCTCCCAACCCTCTCATAAGTACAGTCTCGACAGCATTGGAGGCATGCAAATCATCCTTATAGCGTGAGATCGCTCCACGTAGCATCTCAAGGACAGTGAAGTTGATTCCAACCGTCTGTCTCTCCTTCAACTTCCGGAATGGGGTCCAAATTTAAGAAAAAGGGTGTTTCCCTACAATGGTAAATGATTTTTCGAATTTGATTTCAAAATGGTTTGTTGGTCTTACCCGAATTTACCCTCACCTTTTCCCCATTTCGAACCTTAATTTTCCATCTATATAAACCTCTTCTTTATTCATCGTTAGTGGTGGGATTTTTATGCGAAAATACACAGAATATATTAAGCAAAAATATCTAAAGTACACTCTAAATATACTCCAAGAAAGGGGAAAGAGTTTCATTTTTTTTAGTTTGATATTCTGCCCATATTCCTTGATCGTTGCTCGAGCCAGAACGTGTGGTGGTGGAAGTCACTCAAGTCCAACTCGTTCATCTCCATGTCGCTGCCCTGTGAAAGGTAAACATCAATTCAGTTCAACCTCTCTAATTGTTAAATGTGTTGGTTGTTTAGTTCTCAATCATTTGCAAGTGTTCTAAGTGTTGGGATTCTCTTATCATCTTCATTTTAGTGTTGACTACGAGTCATTAATGGAACTTGGTTCGCTATTCGAACTTGTTGTTTGTGTCCATTTTTTTGAAAGAAAGCTCGTCGATTTCTCTCCTCCTCAATTTCCTTTCTCCTTGCTAATATTTGGTTGTGTCACTATTATTCTCAAAATGTACACCATAAGTCGTGATAGTTGTTTGTTCTTTGTTAGTCTTTGTGTCCCGGTTATTTATGATGAATTTGATTGGTTTGAAAATGACTAAAATGGTTAGACAAATGATTATCTGCGTTTCTTAAGTGTTCACTCATGTTGGCCTGAAATGTTTCATTTCTTTTTGGATTACTATTAAATTTTTTTGTACTGAAAGCATACTAAAAAGGAATGTTAATGATTATCCAATCCATCTTCGTTGAAATGGTATTTTGATGCTTCATTTCTATCTCTATGTTTGTTTCGGATTTATTTTCTCACTTTCTGGAGTAGTCTGTTCACCCTTGCCCCTTATGATCAATATTCAAGTGGCTGTACCTTGTAAGTTGAGTCGATATAAAGGCTAATTTTCTTCGTGTACCTTCCATGTCTTAGCTTTGTGAAATTTTAGATTTCACCTTAAGAAATACTTGATGCATGGATTTTTATTTTTTTAAAAAAAATTGGTCAATGATTGTTATGTGCAGCATGTTTAATTTTAGTATAAAAATTATTTTTCATTAGTTTAGTCACCTGCAGTAGGATCTTTGTATTGGTAAGTAAGTCTTTGTCTTAATATTTTAATAAAGAGAGATCCTTATTAGTTCTAATGTGTAATCTCCTTACGAATTTGATTCATAGATTTTCTCTTGGAAATTTGATTTTTTTTTCTCAACTTACTGTAGGTTGGCTCATCTTTGATTAAATAATGCTTTGATTTTTATACGACCTTAGTTATTCCTTTATTTTTATTTTTGAATAAAATCGGCATTGGTTCGATATCCCATTGTTCACTAGTTATTGTCTAAGCCCTTCAAAAATGTCAATTTGAGTTATTACGCGATCAAGTTGTTTGATAATGTGAGTAGTAACTAGTCATTCTTTGATATTTTCGGTTGTTTCCTTTGTCAGCATGATAGTTCATTCCTCCTATGTGCTTCTTCTTTTTTCCTCCCTTTTGTTATGAGTTCATTTATTCCTTTTGTGGTGATACTAAATTTATGTATTGATTATCAGTAACAATATTTTTATGGCTCGACTTGATTCTTACAATATTTATTTTTTTATGCATGTGAAATTTGTGTGAGTTCATTATGAACTCTTACTTTCTCCCTTTGCATTTCAAGAGGGACACGAAGACCCAAAAATCTCTTATCGAGTCAGTCAACCTTGGGAAATCGCAGAAAAAGTCTCCGGAAATTGATATACAGGTGTATGGAACCGATTTACGGGATGGTATACACCTAGTGTATACGGAAATGGAAAAATGGTCCTAAAAGCCCCAAAATTCAGTTTTGTATTTATTATTGAGCCTAAGCCCTTTAATTAATTACTCTATCTTGTTAGTCTAGAACAAGTACAAAGGTGGAAAGAATTGCTCCAAATGCCCAAAACAACATTAGGACCAAGTATTGGCCCAGGCGAACATATCAAGACATGGGCCCAAATCTTCTTTCCATATCTTATCTATTTGTTATTATGTGTTTTATGTGTGTATTTAATTTTAAGATTCCAAAAATTCAAGTCCCATAAGGATAATCATTTTGAATCAAAAATTTAACATCATGTAAATATTTTACTTTCACTTAAACAAACACATCTATCTTAGTATTGTTGGATAACCACATATTAGCGGATGTCCTAGGATCTTTAAAAACCTTCCTAGAACATTAATATGAACCATGAATCCCTTTTTTACATTTTCATTAGATTTATTTTTTAATCTTTTGAAAAATAGGTTTCTTAATTTTTCTTTAAAAATTAAGTGGTGACTCTTAAAACCAGTCTACTTATTATTTTTAAAAAAAAACAAACATGAATGCTTTTTTTTATATGAGCACTTGCTTTGCATAAAGTTAAGGTAAGATATGTATTATGTTGGTGATCTAAAAGTGGTACTTGGCATTTGTTAAGGTTATGGGGCCGTGCCTTTCCATGGCACTAGAATAGCTTTGGGTTGCTTATGATATTATTTGACTTATGATTCTTCTTATATGTGCATGATGGCTTTTAAACCTGAAAATGCATTCTTTCAACTAAATGTCCATTTTATGCATGTTCCAAGGATATTTATGCATGGCTTCCATATTTAGTACATTATATTTGCTAACCCACATTTTCTACGTTTACTATGAGTGTAGGTTCCGGCCGTTGAGACGTACTTCTTCCTTCAAGTGAAGTTTGGATTGACTATTCCCTAAGCTTGGTGAGTCCTCATGGTTCGAGGACAAGATTTTATCCTTTTCTATCTTTTATTGTACTTTTAATATTTTAAAACATTATTGTAAATGTCTTTGATCCTAATTGTTTTCTCTATGTAGAAGATTGTGATTGAGACAAGGTCTAGACTCTTATAATCATTTATGAAAGAGAAGTTGACTTTAATTGTAAAGTTTTAAATTTTATTTATCATTTATATATCTTATGTCTATGATTATGCTAAGGATTTGTATGAGACTTAACCCCCATCACACTATCGTTGTTCCACCACTAGCCTTTACAGGAACTAGAACATGCTGATTGTTCTGGTTAGCTACACTCTAGGCAGACAATGAATGGTGTTTCAAAATTCTGCATTTGAAACCTCATACTTTGGGACTGGAGGAGTTGTGTCACCATTATGTGGATAAGCATTCTTGGGTAAGCTCTACGAGAAGGCATGATCTAAGAACGCATAACGATGGATTAAAAGAGCTATCAATACCAACGCACGATAAGAATATCAAGAAAAATGAAGTTTTTCCTAAAACACTTCGTAGCCTCTCCCTCATAGGTGGGGTGCGCTTCACACTCATCAAACTAACTCTACTTACTGTCGCTTTTCAAACATCCTAGGACTCTTTAACCTATTGCTCTGATACCAAGTTTGTCAAAACTCAAAGCTATCCCGGGGCATAAACATGGGACCTCAGATAACGAGTGACCCTCAGCTAACCCTGGCATATCATAAGCACACTAATATAACTGAAACGACATAATTTTGACCAGAAGCATAAAATATGACAGAAAGGAAAATGATGGGGAATATCCATTCTACGTCTCTTTCTCTCTCTCTCTCTATCTATCTCTCTATCACTCTCTCTCTCTCTATATATATATATATATGTAGAGAGAGAGAGAGAGAAAGAATGGATATATATATATATATATAAAACTGAGTTTAACGACAACTAAATCTTAAAAATGTTTGGATAAAAGCCTCTAAATGACTAGTGATGATGAGACATGTCCCCAACTAGCTCTAGAATCACTGAAACTAAAGCCTCTAAATGACTAGTGAGGATTCACCATGTATGATGCTGAACTTGAGATCGGGAATCAATCTATACATGATTTGAATACAGAGGACCAAACCTACATCATGAGTAGATGTAGCGCAGAGTATGTGTCAATAATTGAAAGGTACTGAGCATGCAAGATAGGATAAGTTTGAATAACATAAACATAACTGAACAAAGCAATAGAATAAATAATATAATCTAAACATTAGGTGTAACGACCCGTAAAACTAGTACGTAAAACTAAAGCCTAACGAGTTTTATGCTAATTAGTTGGTTAGGGGTTGGGTAAGGTTAATATTTAGTTATTAAAGTATTCTAAGGAGTTTAAAAGTATTAAACTCCTTTTTCAAATCATTATTTCCCCAACTCTCAAAATTAGAAACCTACATCTTTCAAATATTCTCTCTCTAGAAACCTCCATTAAAGGTGAAGGATTCAAGATTCCTATCTCAAGATTTCATATTTTTCAAGCAATTTTCGTGGATTTCATCCCTAAAAGGTATTGACCCCCATTTAAGAACAAATAAAAATGGTAGTCTTCATCCTCATTTAAGTTTCATAATAGGATCTCTATCAAAGATGATTTCAAGTTACCAAATTCTTCCAAAAACCTGAGGTTTTCAATCTATGCATGGATTCAATTCCAAAACATTTTTAAAGGTTTATATATGATGATTTAAGATGTAATGATGAATTAATAATGAATTAAGATAAAATTCCTCTACGAACCCATGTTTCTTCTAAAATTCTACATGGTGATTGTGATTGGGAATTGATCGATCATGAATTGTCATTGAATTGTTTATGTTTATATGGAATTAGTTATTGAATCATATTAATTGTCCTTATCTACTATAGTATCTTAGATTTATGTGTTGATATAAATTCATATCCTTGAAGGGCAACTTCATGAAGGTTAATGTATGATTATGATGTGATTATATGTGTGTGATATATATGAGTGTATTATGATCATATTTAGAATGGAATTGTGTTAGTATTGAAAGTTCATTCTCAATTTTACTAGTATTGAAAGTTCATTCTCAATTTAACACTTACGAATGCTAATGATATATGTGAAAGGTTATACTCACATACACACTCATGAATAAAGAGTGAATAAAATATCTTATATTTTGTTACTGGTGATGTGTTGATTAAAAGGCTATTGTTGATTGTAGACTAATAAATGATAATGGCATTTTATGAAAGGACTTCCTCACGACATGGGGATTCTTAGTTGAAAGGCTAATATCACCTTTGAATCTATGAGTTATCTAATGAATGAATATTGGGTTTGAGATGGATGCTCTCACGTGAATTGAGGTGGGATATCTAGTAACAATCTCTTATCCCATAATGATGACTTAAGTAATAAATGTTAATTACTCCAAGGGGAATAATTGTTATGCCCTGAGGCTACCCCCGAGATGCCGATTGAGACCTAGGATCACAAGTGACCCCAAGCTAATCCCGTTGGCATGACAAAAGCATACTAAAAATAATAATAAATGATACATAATCTAAATCATAAAGTAAATCTGAAATGATGGAGAATATCCATATACCATCTGAATATATTAAATCTGAGAGTTTAATACAAAGAAACATCACACTCAAATACTAAGTTGAATCTAAATATGTCTGAAAATAAGCCTCTGAACTGACAAGAGTGTTGGAACATGTCCCAACTAAGTCTACAAAAATTGAAACCAAAAGACTAAATAACTGAAATGATAACATGACTATTGTCCTCGAAGAGTGAGAAAACACCACTGATGCTCCTAAACTAGACATCGGGAAACCGATCTAAGCGTGATCTAGATGCTGAGAACCTAAACCTAGATCACAATAATATGTAGCACAAAGTATGTGTCAATATTTGAAATGTACCGAGCATGTAGGATAGAGTAAAGCTAAAATAACATATAACTGAAACAAGCAATAAATTAAGTATATAATCTCTTAAAATAATCTAGATACTGAATATAGAGTTAACTGAATGCAATGACCAAATAGTAATATGTTGAGACAGAATACTAACTATACTAACATGTGGTCAAAGTAATGGAGTCTGATTGAAATATTAGAGCTACTTATAACTGATAATAAAAGAACGTGAGCTAAATATGGACTCCAATAATACACCTCATCAAGAGGACCTAATACACCCGGCCAAAGGTGTAGAGGCATTCTAGTGTGATCACTAAAATGATGCCCACGGAGGGGACTTACAACCTATATGACTAGTAGTTCTGGACTATTTGGGTACGGTGAACCCTAGTCCAACTCGGTAGTATGTTAATCTAAATAGATTAAATGATTAACATATTATGACTGAATTTTTGTAATGCACTGGATAACTCAAAACTTACATCCAAACTGAAAATGCAACAATTAATCTGGTAATGACGCATTTATAACTAAGGCATGTATAACTGAATACTGAAATATCTAACTTGGCATGTGTAATTCAAGAACTAGAGAATTACATTGTTAAGGCTCTAAAATTCATGCAAGAAACCAAGTAATAACATGATAATTTAATTTAGAATACTAAAGGGCCCATTTGTGCATAGATTTCCCAAATAATATTTGGGGGAAAACTTGGCAAATAGTGTTTGTCCATACACTTTGCCATTATTTGGAAAATATTTTTGAAAAATTTTCCAAATTCCCAAATACTAATTTTTTTTCTAGTATTTGGGTCAAATCTCATTAGTTTAGATCTTTTAATTATTAAAATTTTATCCCAAACTTTTATCTTTTACAAAAACACCCTCTATAGTTGTTGCTTACGTTGTATTACATATTTTTTTACGTTAATTCAAAGTAGTGATGAAATATTTGGTGAATGTTAAATGATAATATGGTTATTGATGAAAATGATGAACAATAGGCTCAATATAACAAAGTCCTGTGTTTTGTCTACTTCGCGATGTATGAAATGATGCTTGTTGCACTCACTCCAAATTATCACATTGCTCTAGAGTCATGGACACTATTTGTTGTTATTTTAACAAATATCCAATTAACTTGTAGTACAAACTTATGGTTATTTTTTATATTTTACAAACTTATGGGTATAAATCATATTTTTCTAAAAAAGTGAAATATATTTCCCAAATAATATGGCCAAACACATGGTGAAATTCACCCAATTTTTCACCCAAATAATATTTGCCAAGAATATTTGGAAATATATGGCCAAACGCTAGGTCTAATAAATAGACTTATTCACGATAATCTCCTGAAGTTCTAGAAACCCTAGGTCTAGTTGATAATACAGAATCAAGAATCCAACAGAAAACTAGGGACCTAATAGGCGAAAGGAACCCACTAGTGAAACTCCACATGCTTGGTGACAAAAATCATAGAGAAATATTTCGAGTGTGAGGCTATAATTGGTGGAATCTTATTGCATTCTTGAACTAGGGCTATCTCACCTCTTCTTCTCTCTAGGTTCAAATTTTCCATGTTTTGATGAATGGTATGACTTAGGCAAGTTTTAGTTATGTTTGTAGGCTAAAACAAACCATAACCACATAGTTTAGGGTTAAAAAGACATAAGTTAAGGGTCCAATAAAATAGCAAAAGACCAAAAACCCCAAACTCAAAGCTACAGATGGGTTGACCATCGTCCCTACAACAGACTATGTGAAGGATTTGGACTATGAAGGCACCCGTGATCTCAACTTGGTTTAGTGTTTGAGGATCTTGACTCACGGACCCTCCCACGGCCCGTGTGAAGCACCACAGACCGTGAAGGTGTTTGTGGTCTTCACTTGGGATAGGGAGCCTGATACGTACAAACTTACACTTCAAATAAGTAGTGTAAACTTCCATTGTCAATTTACAGAACTCAAGTAGAGTTGAGGTCGATCCCACATAGAATTTCCTTACAGATAATGTTTCTCTATCGTGTTTATTTGAATGCATTTATGATTTTCTAAGTGAATAGTAACTGAAAATACAATTGCATTTAGTTGAATAATTCTCATTTCCAAAACTTATAGTAAAACGTCATATTTCACAACTAACAAATGTCTTGTTGTAAAGTTGATTCAGTTTATTAAAAGAAACCAGGTTTTGTATTCACTATGACATGAGTTCTAATGCTCATATGTAATTCGATTGTCAGGCAAATAAAGGTTTATTTAGCCATTACGAGTTGAATTTATCTAACGCTTCTCAGCCTATTTAGATAATGATCACTTTTATTCGAACTCAAAGTGTTAACCAGATTGAACCTCGCTTATATTGATATGGGGTTAAAGATCGCTTCTCTCGAACTCAAACTTTAACTCCAATTTTTAAATTAGTCCAGCATTTTCCTAATTGATGTTTTCCTATTGAACCAACAACAGATACAGGCTTGTCTAATACGTCACTTGATAGACTAATATATGATTGAAATTTGTAAACTATAGGTTGTAAACAAAAAATAACCTTTTACTTGTTTTAAAAATTTGTTACTAGATCATAATCATAGATCTCACAACCCAGTTGTGGTATTTAGTTGCTCATGTTTTCATGTAAATAATCAACAAAGAAAGATGATAACATGCTAAGAATCACTTACGACAATAAATAGCAGAACAACAATTCCTTTAGTAAGCTAATAGTCTGAAACTAATAAAACGAATCGAAAACTTCAATATATGCAAAAAAATCTTGATATCATATTCTCCTTTGTAAAATGTAAGATAGTCAATAATACACCCAAAAAGTACCTAATAATTCAAAATAGAATGTTTGTAAAGAGTCATAATCAAATTAGGAGTGAATTGTTGGGATTTTTCATGGTCATGGTCACGGTCCGTCAAGGGGTTCACATCTGTGAAGCACTCCGTGAACTTCCCCTTGTTTACTGGAATTTGCATCACGAGTTGGACCACTTTCACACGTCGAGCCTACACCCTGGGTGTGGCCGTCACTCGAAGACCATTGTTGGCCTTGAACGAACCTTTGGCATGGATTACCTAACTCAGCAGAAGACAATACACATAGTTATATAATGATCAATAACTCAAGTCACTGATAAAAATGAAAAATGTTTTAAAGTTAAACATTCAAATGGCAAAACTAGCCCAAAGGCTCTTTGGAAATCTCAGTTTCCCTTCTTTTTAAATGTGAAAACTTTTTAAGCTCCTTTGGGAATACTTAGTCTCTATATACTTTTGAAGAAATAAACTTCAAATTTACTCTTTAATATTATTCTTTACTTAGTCTGAAACTTGAGTCTTAAAACAAAGTTAAAGTGTTGTTAAAGACCCTTGAGAACTCTTAAGAACTTTGCTTTGACTTGATTCTTAACTTCTAAACTTGATTCTTAACTTCATTGACTTTGACCTTAACTTTATTTGAATTGAATTATTGATTCAAGGTTCATGATCTCATGTTTATGGATGATTTCATTATGTTTAGATGTACCTTAGAGTGTTGGAAGTACGAAAAGGTGGGGGAAGAATGGGGAAAACTGGCGTCCCTGGAGCTCTGAGAGGTGCGGGGCGCCAGCCCTCAAAGTGCAGAGAACTTTTTATGGTGCTCTGGCTAGCGCAATGTACCAAAGGCCAAAGTTCAGAAGAACATGTTTGGCACTCTAGCAGGCACGACTCCCCAGCCCTTGGCCAAAGTCTCTCTAACTTTTCTCCTTCATTTTTCATATCTAAACCCTCTAAACTTCCATGGTTATTTCCTCAATCACTTAGGATCATTAGTACCATCAATACCTAATAGATTAAACTCAGAAAAATGACCCAGAATTAAGAATCAAATCAACGCTAGTCATTCAAAAACTCAATCAACAAGAATTCAACAAGGTTCTTCAAGAACTTCACTTTTATCATTATCCAATTTAAATATCTCTGCGTTGAAAAAAAGTTTGGAGTGTGGGTGCACTAATCCAACACTAAAATATTTCACATACCTTGATAGAGATCACTCCTGACTAAATCCACTCGCTAATCTTGACGTTCTTAACTAATTCTTGACTTTTTTTCTCCTTTTCCTTCTTATTTTCTATCTTCTTCAAGCCATAAGCGTAAAGTTAAATTTTACAATATGAATTAAACTTAGTTTTTACCCCAACAAACCCCTAAAAATAAAATAGAAATTAATTGGTGAAATGACTAGTTTGCCCTTTCTTAAATACGATTGTATCTTTCCTCACTTCAATAACCCATCTTCCGATAGGTATATCTCACTCATACGATATCGAAAGTGCACAAACTCAACGGCGTTGTAACTATCTCTGCAAGGGCATTCCAACCATGTCAATATCTACCTCTAACTCATCATAATATAGAACTTATGGCCATTTTAAAATGACCAAAATTCATTTTCTTAACTTAGGCAATTTTTTCCAGATTTTTCCTTTTTTTTCCAAAAATGAATGTTTTTGGTTTCTTAGCTTATTATTAGCCATTTAAAATTATGAGGTGTTACAACCACGGACCATCATAGGGACCACGGCCCGTGAAGATGACCATGGTCTTTACTTGAATTTCCCAAAGTTTTGGGTCTTGAATGCTGCCTACTGGAGCAAGGGTCACGAACTGGACCATGAACCGTCAAAGATTTCACGGACTATGAAGACACCCTAGTCTTTACTAGGAACTTCCCAAAAGTTTATCTGAACAACTTAGCTACTGGAAAATGCACCACGAGAGCTATTACGATCCGTAGTGAGGACCACGGACCGTGAAGTTGTCCATGGTCTTTACTTGTTCCTTTCATTTTTAGCTCCTCTCCGACCTTCACACTGGTTCAGTTTCACGGGCTCAACCACGGACCATTATGAAGGTCACGTTCTATGAAGTTAGCCATGAACTTTCACATGGAACATCATCATTCTCTACTTCTTTCTCACTTTTCTACAGGTGCCAGATTCTGCCTACAAAATCAACAAAGACATCAAATCATACAAAAACACACTTCATTCTAGTATTAACTCCTCATTTTTAAGTATTAAGTGTGCTAAGATTTCACGGTACATTAGATTCTAAGGAGCTGGCTAGGTGGGCTACTGGTTAAGCTTTCATGAATGCTCCCACGACCCATTATAACGACCATATACTATGAAGGTCCTTGTGTTCCTTACTTGGGCAACGGGTGTTTGAGGTCTAAGATAGGGGAGGCTACTGCTTCACTCTTCACGAACGTCATCACGATCCGTTACAAGATCACGACCCGTAAAGGGTATCGTGGTCTAAATCATGGGCATGGTGGAGTCCAACTCCCCACCACGGGCAGGTCAACGGATTTTGGTCCCTATCAAGGTTTGTGAACCATGCCGTGGTTCACTATTTCAGGTGAGTTCTGCAAAATAAAAATTGGGTCCGATTTCAAGGTGTTGCAATCATGTTAAGCATCAAATGGATAGTGATATGAGATAAAAGTTCTCACGTGAGTTCAGGCAGGGATTCTAGTAGCAATCTCTTGAGATAGCCCTCACATGAGTTAAGGCGAGGTATCTAGTAACAATCTCCCTATCCCATAATTATATGACCACATAGGATATTAGCTACTGGATCCACCTAAGCTAAAAAGTAATGGTACTATACCTTAGGCAAGTAGGAATCCCTTATCTGGTGGGGGTGACATCAGGATTCCATCTATTGCTCACATGGTCTATGTCAGTTAAGTCTTACCACCATAAAGAATGATGATGAACTATGGTTTCTCAAGAGTGCATTACTTAGTGTGGGTGGTATTATGGGAGGTCATCCATGCATTGAACAAGTAGGCTTTGTGAGTAGTTATGTTGTGTTCCTTTATGTTATAATACTTAATAAAATGAATGTGGTCTTAATGAAGCTAATAAATAAGGTTGACTAATGTCTTCAATGAGATGATGCATGCCTTACTTGGATTGTATTATGAGTTTCTTTCTTGTCATGACTTGTTGAATATGAATATGCCTTGTCTATGGTGGATTGAAAGGATTACTTAGTGTGAGTGTTAGTAGGAGATTCTATTCATACATTGCACAAGTATGACTTAGGGTATCCTTAGATGATGGTCCTAATGTATGGATATGACTTATGAAATATTTATGGATGAATGGTAAGTTCACTTTTAGTGGCATTAATATGGTACTTAGTGTGGATGGTGGTATGAGATGTTATTCAAACATTTCTCAAAGTATATCTTGGGGTTACTTAAAGTGAAAGCTTAATGTAATGAAGTGGTTTATATGTTGATTATGTCCTAATGTGAAAACATGACTTGTATATTGGTTATGTTTGATGCTATGTCTCTTATGCTTATGATTCATGAAGTTTACTCAAAATTGGCATATGCATGGTTTTAAACCAAAATATCCTTTTTAAGCATGGTTTTTGTATGGCTATCATACTTAGTAATTAAATGTGCTAACACATATTTTCTCCATTTTTACCAAATTGTAGGTCTGGAATTTGAGTTTATTCTCTCTAGATGAAGCTTGGATTGAGTTCTTCCAAGACTATTGGTATGTCCTAATGGATTCGAGGATAAGTACTTTGATGTTTCATTTCTTTCATGTGATAGACGTTTGTCAGACTTACAATTATAAAGGGTCATGACCCTACTTTTGTTTCAACACGTGCTTAGATGGACATGTGAGGTTGTAGACTTCAACTGTGTTTTTAAATGAAGTTTTTGATGGTATGGATTTAAAGAAATGTTTTCATTTTATACATGCTACTCTTAAAAGTCTTGTACGTCGTGTTGCATCCAGGGTATAGGCTCAGTTGTAACAAACATGGTATCAGAGCATAAGATTTTGGGAATGGTTTTAGGATTAATGTCTCACAGATGTCGAGTATAGTCTTGTTTATAAGTGTAAATCGCCACACATTTTATGAATAAGAGGCTCTAAGAATTAAGGAAATTTCACTTTATTGATTACTCTTGAGTCGTGCCACAGCGTTTAGATCTATAAGTGTTATTTTCGTAACCGTTATATTTTGTTTGTAGGATATGACTACAAGAAGGGTTTATGCAAGTAGGATGGAAGAGGAGATTGTGAATGAGGGAGTTCCTCCCCAAGGTCCTTAAGGTGACCAAGCTCCTCGAGGCAATCAAGTTCTGGTGGATTCCTTACCATGTCCAATGAAGAAATTAGGTCGGCTGCTCTAACCTTTGCCCAAGTTAAAAGAAATGAGGGGCCTCGAGTGAATACTAATGAGAGTACTATGGCTTCGAGATTAAGGGATTTTTCTAGGATGACCCCGCCTCCTGCGAGTGTTTAGGTTTGAAAGGTTTGTAGATGAGGTCTGTAAGATAATTAGTGTCATATGGGTGTCTTTGGAGGAGAAGGTGGAGCTACCCGCCTACCAACTAAAAGATGTAGCTCAAATTTGGGATGAACAATGGAAGGGTGAAGGGCCAAAAGTATCGGGTCCCATAAATTGGGAGGTATTCGAAGAGGCTTTCCTTGATAGGTTTTCCCCTTAAAGTTGAGGGAACGACAATTGGTAGAGTTCATAAACCTTCGTCAAGGGGGTATGAGTGTTAAGTATTATTCTCTCAAGTTCAACCAACTATCCAAGTATGTTCCAACCTTGGTGGCAAGTTAAAGGTCTAAAACGAATAAGTTTATGATGGGAGCATCCGGTTTGGTGGAAGTAGAATGTCGTATGACAATGATCCATCATGACATGGATATTTCAGGCTCATGGTATATGATCAACAAATTGATTAGATGAAACTTGATTTATTAAATAAGGAGGCAAAAAGAGTTAGGCTCGTGAACAAAGTCAACCAAGGTCCAAAAATAGGTTCTACAACCATGATTCACCAATGGTCAAAAAGGATAGGGGTTCTACTTTTGAAAGATTTGTATGTGCCATGTAAGGGAAGTAATATTTGGGAAGTGCCTAGATAATACGGATGGTTTCTTAGGGTATGGAAAGAAGGGTCATAAGATGAGAGATTGTCTAACACTCAGGGACCAAGGAAGAGAGGCCAAAAAAGCTTCTCTAAATGATCTGGACTTTGATGATCCAAGGAAAAATCATTTCTATGTACTTCAAGCTAAGGAGGGAAAATGAGCTCTTCCAGATGAAGGCACTAGTACGTGATAGTTCCTTATAGTTGTGAAGGTTTTTTAAATGTCCTTATGTTGTTTTCATGTTTGCCTTGATATGGGTTTACTCCTAAGGGGGAGATGGTATGTTGAATGGTAAGGTTGTTGAGAGCTCCGTATCATTATCTCTTTCCTTTTATTCCTATTCAAGCTTGAGACCAACAGTTCCTTGTAGTTTGTTTCATCTTTCGGAGCCATGTGTGGTTATGTGTTTCCATGGAATTTGTATGTATGCAAGTTCTTGACAAATTTTTGTTTAAATAAGAAAATGAGTTTTATGAATTATATTCCTCATGTTGATATACATTTAGTATGAGTTGTCTATATGCTTCATGAGATGAATTGTTGAACATTCCTAAATGTGTTTTTGAGAAGAGTTGCAAAAGTTGCTTGATGATGCTATGTTGAACATGAATTGAGTTGGAGAAGGTAATTCCTCCAATTAAATGAGAAATTTTGAGGTTTTCATGCATAATGAGTTTGTAGATATAGTTCATACTTTCTTGTGTTGCATTGAGCATGTTTGAGATAGATTTGATGTTTCTTCGTAGTTTTGGGCATTGTTTATGATGTTGCATGCATGATGGTTTTCTATTCTTGAGTTGTTATCCATTATTGTGTTTCAAGTGTCATTCAAGGACGATTGTTCATAAGGAGGAGATAATGTAACGACATGTAAAACTAGAGCCTAACAAGTTTGGTTCCGAGTTTTTGTGGGTTTGAGGTTGTAAAGTGATGTCCCGAGCTTCAGTTGAGGAGTTTAGGGGTTAAACATCAAGGTACGACCCCCCAAGACCAACCAAGGGTCCTTGAGGGTGACCCTAAAGTCTAACCCCCAATGCTGTCTAGAACCAAAAAGCTGTTAAAAAATATCATGACCTACGGATGGGACCTACGCCCCGTAATCCCATCCACACCCCGTGGGGTTGGTCTGTAGGTCAAGGGACCAAATGGTGAATTCCATCCCCAAACCACGGACCTGCAGGATAGGGTGTCACCCCCACCTACGGTTCGTAGGTCATTGGGCAAAAGTCAATCCTATAATTTTCCCCATTTCAGCCAAGGGTAGGGGTGGTTTGGTAAATTCCTAATTATTTGTTTAGGTGTTTGTGACGGATATTATTGAGTTATTAATATATTTTAAGGGTTCTTGATGTACTAAACTCCTTTTTCAACTCATTATTTCCCAACTTTTAATAGTAGAAGCCCACCTCCCTCAAATATTCTCTCTCTAGAAACCTCCAATTGAGGTGAATGATTCAAGCTTCCAAGCTCAAGATTTCATCTTTTCAAGCAATTTTCGTGGACTTCTTACCTAAAAGGTATGGTAGTTTTCATACTTGTCTAATTTTCATTCAAGGAGCCCTATCAAAGATTATTTCAAGTTTTCAAATTCTTCGAGAAAAATATAAGTTTTCAATCTATGCATGGGTTCAATTACAATACATTTTTAAAACTTTATATATGATGATTTAAGATGTAATTTATGAATGATGAATTAAGATGGATTTCTCTATGAACCAATGTTTATCCTAAAATCCTAAGTTGTGAATTGTGATTGGGAATTGATCATGAATGTATGTTGAATTGCATATGTTTCTATTGAATTAGTTATTAAATCATGTTAATTTCCTTTATCTATTATAGTATCTTATATTTATGGATTGATATTGATTCATAGCCTTGAAGGACAATTTCATGAAGGTTAATGTATGATTATGATGTGAATGATATGTGTGATCTCTCTGAGTGTATTATGATCATGTTTAGAATGGAATAGTGTTATTATTGAAAGCTTATTCTCAATTTAACACTTATGAATAATGATGATATATGTGAAAGTTTATTCTCATTTACACACTCAAGATGAAGTATCTAAGATTATGTTAATGATGATGTGTTGGTAAAGTCCATTCTCGATTGTACACTAATGAATGATAAAAGACTTTCTCACAATATGGGGATTCTTAGTTCAAAGGTTATTCTCATGTCTTAATATATGAGCTATCTAATAAATGAATATCGGATTTGATATGGATGCTGTCACGTGAGTTGAGGCGGGGTATCTAGAAACAATCTCTTATTCCATAATGATGATTAAAGTAATGAATGTTAAGTACTCCGTGGGAATAATGCTAATAACTGAGTGGAGAGTGATATGAGATGAAAGTTCTCATGTGAGTTGAGGCAAGGTTTCTAGTATCAATCTATTGAGGTGGATGTCCTCAGGTAGTTGAGGCAGGTATAAAGTAATAATCTCCCTATCCCGTAACTATGTGCTCACATAGGGTATTAGCTAGTGGATCCACCTAAGCTAAAAATTAATGGTCCTACCTTAATCAAGTAGGAGTCCATTATCATGTGAGGGTGACAGGGATTCCATGAATTTCTCATGGCCTGTGACGGTTAAGGCTTACCCCCACAAGAAATGATAATGAACTATGGTTTTTCAAGAATGCACTATTTAGTGTGGGTGGTAGTATTGGATGTCATCCATGCATTGGAAAAGTACGCTTTGAGAGTAGTCATGGTGTATTCCTTTATGTTGTAATGTTAAATGAAATATATGTGCTCTTAGTGAAGCTAATAAAGAAGGTTGACTTATATATTTAATGAGATGCATGCGTTACTTGGATTGTATTATGAGTTACTTCCTTGTCATGACTTGTTGAATATGAATGTTCCTTGTATGTGGTGACTTGAAAGGAGTACTTAGTATGAGTAGTAGTATGGGATGCCCTAGATGATGGTCCTGATGTGTTGATATGACTTATTAAATGTTTATGTTCCTTATGTATGTGTATTGTCTAAAGGTGAAAAATGATGAATGGCAAGTTCACTTTTGGTGGCCTTAATGTGGTACTTAGTGTGGATGGTGGTATGAGACGTTATTTAGACATTGTACAAAGTATAGCTTGGGGTACTTAAGGTGAAGCTTAATGTGATGAAGTGTTTTATATGTTGATTATGTTCTAATGTGAAGAAATGACTTGTATGTTGGTTATGTTTGTATATTATGTCTCTTATGCCTATGATTCATGAAGTTTTCTCAAAATTTCCATATGCATGGTCTTCAACCAAAATGTCCCTTTTAAGCATGGTTTTTGCATGGCTGTCATACTTAGTACTTTAAATGTGCTAACCCATATTTTCTCCATTTTTTCCAAAGTGTAGGTTCCGACATTTAAGTTGATTCCCTGTAGTTGAAGCTTAGATTGACTTCTTCCAAGACTATTGTTATGTCCTCAAGGATTCGATGACAAATAATTTGATGTTTCATTTCTTTCATGTAATAGACGTTTGTTAGACTTTCGATTGTAAAGGGGTGTGACCCTACTCTTGTTTCAAGACTTTTTTAGATGGTCATGTGGTTGTAGACTTCCGTTGTGTTTTTAAATGAAGTTTTTGATTTGATGGATTAAAAGAAAAGTTTTAATTCCGTACCATTTTCCTTATATCGAATGTTATGAATGCTATGAGGTTCTTCAGAATCTTTTATGTTGTGTCGCGTTCGGAGTGTAGGCTCGGGTCGTGACATGAGGTAAATTCTGAAATATACTAAATATTGAGTTAATTGAATGCAATGACCAAGTACATGATATGCTGAGACTGAATATATAGCTATACTAATAACCTGGTTAATAGACTATAATATGATCGTTGGAGCTACTGTTAATCGACATAAAACCACTAGAGCAATCTGTGGAGTCTGATGCACCGCTCCATCAAGAGAATCCAATATGTCTTGCCGAAGGTATAAAGGCATGACTGACGTGATCACTAAAACTGATGCCCACAAAGGGGACTTATCCTACGGGGGCACGTGTTTTGCGACTATGAGGGCGACTGATCCTTAGTCTACTTGGTATAAGCGTACTCCCAATTGGTTATGTAAATAATACATTTTAACTAAAGATGTACAATATTGAATAGCCCAAAATACTGACATGTTAATTGAAAATGCAACATTAATATACTGATAATAAAATATTCTTAACTGGGCATGTATATATGAAGAAACTGACCTAGCAAATGTAATTCATGAACTTAACGAATCTACACAATTAGGGTTATGATTTTCATGCAAAGATCTAAGCAACAATTACTCAAAAATATGATAATCTGATTTTGATTAGTCTAACCGCTAAATCACAACCATATTCCAGCAACCCTAGGTCTAAACATGTTATAGAGAATCAAGAATCTGACTGAATTCTAGAGACCTAAAAAATGGGTGAAAGGAACCCACTTAAGAAATACCACATACATGGTGATGGAATTTACGGAGAAATCTTTCTATTTTAGGTCAGGAACCGAAGAAAACCTCGACGCGTTCTTAGAGAGGGTTGGTCGACTCTTTCTCTTTCTTTTTGTTCAACTTGATGAATTTTTTGGAGAATGAGTTGACTAAGGTAAGCTATAATTAAGTTTCTAGGCTAAAATTGATTAAAACGACGTAGTTTAGGGGTTCAACAACATATTTTTGGGTCCATTACATAGGGAAAGTACCAAATGACCCCTGACTTACAAGTTGTCGAGGCCAACTGATGGACTGACCCATGATTCATCCTGTCAAGTGTTGTTGGCTTCAGAGAATGGGTTCTGAGGATCTCGATCCACGGACCAGGACCAGTGGTCCAACCTACTGTTCGTGGTTCCAGCTGTGTATCGACCCTCAGACCATTTTTCTGGACTGTTCTAGGAAGGGCTCTAGGTGGCCATCCACGGACCCCACCAACTGTCCGTGGGTGGTGCCACCGTTGATTTTTGCAAACTGGTATTTCTAGCATACGGGGTGTTACAGGTGACATAAACTATTTTAATTGAGTGTAGGTGGCAATTATATAATTAAGGATTTTATGAGGCATGTATGGAAGTTGCCCTCAAGTTTTTAACTTGATAGTTTGATCAATTGAATTAAATGAGGGGTAAAAGAGTAAAATACTAAAACCTAATGTAACATTGATTACTTATATGTTAATGGCACTCCACACATATATTTTAATAAGGAATATGCACAAATACCCCCAACCAATGACCGAAATCTCAGAGACACACTTATACTATACTAAGGTCCTATTACCCCTCCCCCCCCCCCCAAAAAAAAAAGCTTATTTTATAAATAATTTTCACCCCTTTTCGGCCTACATGGCACTATATTCTGGGCCCAACATGTGTTGAATATTTTTTTTTCAAACTAGTGCCATGTAGGCCGAAAAGGGGTAGAAAATTATCTATTATAAATAAGTTCAGGGGTAATAGGACTTTAGTATAGTATAAGTGTGTCTTTGAGATTTCGGGCATAAGTTATACTCTTTATACTTGAAAATCATATTTTCTTAAATCTTTTGAAGTATTAAAATACAATTATTAAAATAAATAGATATGTGAATATATATATTTTATGATTAAAAATAGAATAAAAATTTATGCCAAAAATATTTATTCATGAATTTGATAATTTAATTTAATTTTTTTAACATATGTATCTTTTGAAAAATTTTAATAAACAGTGAATACAAATGACAAAATAAGTTGGTTTGATTTTTAATGTATTGTAAAAACAAAATCACAAAATTTAGCACATAAAAACTTTATGACCAAATTTTTACATTATATTTTAATATACTATATTCACGTGGGTTGTCCATGTATTTATTTCATATAGAAAGAGGTGTAATCATTTGATTTGAAAATACAAGGAGTATATTTGGAACCAAAAACATATTATTTGAGTATCCAATTTAATTAACCCTCAATTTTATTATTCTAGATATAATATATGAGGTTTATTATCTATCAAATATTTTTACATAGTTAATATGAATCTATTTATCTATGTATTTCATATAAAAGATATGGATAATAATATAGTAAGCAAGTTAACAATTCAAAAATAAATAAATCATGTTCTGGTTCTAGGTTGAATATATTGAGATTTAATTATCAGTGGCATAATGTTTTTAGATTATTGCTTTCTGAAAAATCATATTTGACGAGTGTAACATAAGATGTATCTTTTTGATATAAATACAACTAAAGAATCTAAAATGCCAATAGATGTGATGTATGCAAAAGTCATACAAACCTAAATTGTATATTTAAAAAAGGAACAAAAACGATTGAAAAAAGAAATATTTAAAGGAGTTTTATCATATCAGTATGACAAAGAATAACAAGGCATGTTGATGTATTTCATTACTCCATTTTTCAGTTACTTCAACACATAATTTTTAGATGGTCAAGATAAAAGGTACACCCAAAGTATATGTTGTAATATAAAAATTCAAATTCATTGATATTTTAATAAAATGTACTAAGTGACATCAAAATTTATTGTTAAATGCATGTTCAGTGCAATATAAACGAAACAAAAAAATTGCTAGGAAAATATATCTTGACATATATATTAAGAATGTACTATCCATTTAATATATTATAAATGTTAAATTTGTTAAGTTTCATTTCAATCGTCATTCAAAACGATCCTGAATTAATATTAATTAATATAATTAAAAAACAAAGTGATAATATTACGTTTGGGCAATAAAGAGAACATAAATAATTGAATGAAGAAACGATAACTGCTTAACAATTATTTCAAAAATCGTGCAAAGCTCAATCAAATTTCTAGGTAATAGAGAAGAGCATCAAATTATATTTTTGTATTTTATTTCTGATAATGAAAAGTAGGTAAAAGAAATTATTTAAAAAAAATTAAGATAAGAAAGATAAATTTAATATTGCAACCACTAAAAAGATCAATATGATAAAAAACAATATCTTAGAGGTGTTTGTATGAAATTATTTATATAAAATATCTAGGAAAAATTTTCATTAAAACTTATACAAAATATATTGTGTGAGAAAATACCAACCAAAAAAAAACACAAAGGATGGACCAACCAACGAACCCGCTATATTTGCTTCTATTGGTCCCTCAGGTCTCCATTTTGAATATATACCGGCACATTCTCCTCATTCGAATAACACGAAGCATATCTCCTCTCCGATAGAAATGGCCGCCGTCGAGAACGGCAGTGCGCTGCCGCAATCAGCGTTGATCTTCCTCGGCACCGGTTGTTCAAGTGCCGTTCCCAATGCATTGTGCCTGATCCGCCCCTCTGATCCTCCATGTACTGTCTGTTCTCAGTCCCTTACCATGCCACCTGTAGAAAACCCTAATTACAGGTCATTTCTCCATTATCTGCCTTTTAATTTTACTGCATTGTGATTGTTTTTCGAATTGTTGCTATTTAATTTGCTTTCCAGGCGAGTGGTCTGTGTGTGTAATTTGTATGTTTTGATTTAGGTTAGTCGAATCTAGCAATCTGTTCAATTAGTAATTGTTACATTTTCAGTATTGAAAACTTTTAAATTGCAGCTTATTGAATTTCGGAGTAGTGGCTTATGAGTTACCAATGCGAATTGATTTTATTGGGAACTGAGAAGAAGCTCAGGAAGCAAGTACATATTCATGCTTTTTATTGTACATTTAATTTTTACAGTGGAAGTCTTTTGATGATTGTTTATGCATAACTCTGTGAGATCTCATATAAAAGTTCAAGTTGTTAGCATATACATTTATTTACTTACATTTCTTATGAGTATTTGTATTATTGTTGATTGGTTGTGGTGAGATTCGAATCCAGAATCTCAATTTGATGTGGTCCCATATTGAACTATGTGGCTGTCTCATATTAAGCATCTTACTAGAACTGCTTCTTTTTATCAGTACTGTTACTGTAAAGAAAAGAAGAATAGGATGAATTGGGCAATGATACAAGTCTAAGCTGTTAGAGAAAGGAAATGCATAATTCTCATACTAGGTCTGCAACATCTTAGACAAGTATCAGCTATATACAACAACATTTATGCACTCTGAGAATTGTTTAATTGAGCATAAAGTTATAGTGACTGGTAGTAACAGTTGTCTAATGGCCTGCAGGTGTAATACATCTCTACTTATTGATTATTGTAAGGAAAATGGTGAACACAAGTACATATTAATTGATGTTGGGAAGACGTTTCGGGAGCAAGTACTTCGTTGGTTCACTCATTATAGAATTCCTCACGTTGATTCTGTGAGTATCATTTTATGTTTATTGACTTACTTTCTGCAGTTGCATTACACTAGTAGATTGAGGGTGTGTAACAGAGTTAATGAGAAAATTTGTCAAATGTGCATAAAAAGTTAATTTGAGGAATAACTTGAACAATCTGGTTTGTGTATAAAACTTAGATTTACATGCTACAAGGTAATTACAACAACATACCCAGCGTAATCCCACAAATGGAGTATGAGGAGGGTAGGATGTGTGAAACAAATGCAACCACGCCAAATTAAAAGTTCATTCATGTGTTCGTACTCTTATTGCCAAGCTTAACTTACCTATGCAATACGGTTATTCCTATGCATCCTTTGAAAGTTATCCCATCCTTGATTATACTTTCTCTTCCCTTCTGCTACACATGTTTCTATTACATGCCTTAGCATTGATTTGCTTCTTTTAGTCTGTCATAATTTACATGGTTATGTGTAACTAAGAATCAATATTGCATGCAAATGATATGGATAAATGAATAAAGGATTATATGTTTTTTCGGATCTTTTAGAAATGGTAAACCATATTTTGCATGCGAAACCTGTTTATTGTTGTGTTACTTCTCACTTATCCTTCATTTGATATGTTAATATGTTTGTAGTATTTACACCTTGGAGGCATCAGATTTTCCTAGCTCTGCTTCTTTCCATCTGTCTTCAGATTTTCGTTTGATCTGGGTGTCATCTGTCTTCAGTTATTGATAAAGATCAACATTGCCTTCAAACAAGGGAAATATCGCTGAGATATTTCTTTAATTTTCCTTGAATATTCCCCAAATACTTTCATATTGGAACAAGCACAAGAATGCCCTTGCACTAATAATTCCTATATGACCTCACTTAAAAGTCAATCTTAAAATATCCTCTAGTTTCTTTACTGTCCAGAATAACCTAATGGGTCAAAAATTGACTTCATTATCCATTTTTTACATTAATATCCAAAAGCGACATTACATTTGCACCATAAGTGCACTATATTTAGTTTCCCATCACGGGAAGTTCATATCCTAGGGCAAGGAGATGGTTTGTGTTTTTTGGTACTCAACTGTAAAACAATTTCCCCATTATTTCCCTAGACTATTCTGGGCAGAGTATCTTTTATTTTAATAATGCTTGTGTTAGGGTAAGGTCTGCCTACACTTTCTCTTTCCCCAACTCCACTTGTGGGATCACACTTTGTGTTAGCATTTAGCAGAATATGCAGCTTATAATGAGTTTCCCAAATTCCAAATTGCTAAGTATATCACTTTTACCTTGCTTAAAGAAAAGGCATCAATCATCATAATTCATATGTAACTTGATGACAGTATAGATACTTCAGAACTTAGCACAAAACCTGTTTTTTGAGAGAAATTCATAGTATGTTGCTCTTTCGCTTGGGAATTGTAACTCAACTAACTTTCTAATAGTAAAGGAGCTTCAACATTGCCAAGCTAGGGGTGCAAATGAGCTGAGATAGCAAGCTGATAGAAGTTTTCGAACAAAACTCACTTTGTGATATGACAAGTATGGTGTTTCATCAGTCTGAATCAAACAATTCATGAGGATTTGGGAAACCTTAGAGGTGGTATTTGGGGCCCTATTTATCTGGTTTAAGCATTCTGGGTATTTATTGAATTATGAGACCTCGAAAATGCTATGTTATCTGGAGCTGAAAAAACATTGGAAGATATAGCTATTTGAGCAGTTGTGGGAAGTGTACCGAATAAGTTGTTTGAGTTTCCTCTAAGCGTTTTGCATCTTTTTGGCTTATTGATAGGGATATTAGAAACTAGGATGACGATGACATATGCTAAAATGCACATCCACAGGGTTTAAATTGCAGTACATGAAAAAAAAGAAGAAGGTAGAAGCATCCAGTAGAATTTATAGACATCAAAAGTTTCTGAATTTTGAAGAGGATTCCTAAGTGAGGAAATAACTATGCTACCTCTTAACAGAAGAAATTATCAAAACTATACATCTAATCTTATTCTCCAGAATTCTTCACCAAGATTAACAGTTTCAAAGGATTCATCATAAATTGGCTGGTAACTGGGAATATGGTTTTAGTGCACATGGGGATTAACTTATTTTTAGTTGCTTTTGACTTTTCAGTAGTTTCTTAGTTCTGTAGGTATTTGGAAAGGTTATAAAGTGCTTTTAAGCACCCACTTTTTGGCCAAAAAGTTTTAATGTAGGGTACATCTACTTGTGACTTTTAGCTTATTTGACTTGTACTTTTTATAAGCCCATCCAAACAGGCCCTTAGTCAGTCTTTTAGTCTTGTCAGTGATTTTAATATAGTAGAAATTTAGAGAACTCCTTGTACTTTTGTATTTAATTATCGATCGATCTTTTGGGGAATGAATAAATATTGGAGAAATTCAGTTTAATAATACACATAAAGGTCTGCAGGACATCTAGTAGTTCAATATTCTTCCTTCAGCTTATTTATAGAATAAAATTTACTTAAGAGGTTGCATACAACATAGGACATCTTGAATTTGATTTAGCAGACTTCATTGGTCTGCCCCAGCTCGACTCACCTTGTCAAAAACGGAAACCTCATTAACAAAGGTCAAATGTTTTCGAACTAGAATTCTAGGTACAGAAAATTAAAAGAGAACATAAATTTTCCCAGTTAGAGAGAACTCAGAATTTCCTAGTTTTTGTTCTCAAGAAACAAATGTGATATATGGACTTAGTTTGACTCTCTATTCGAATACATATATCGATGTGGACAAACTTTTTTAACATATTTTAATATGCAAAATAAATGATGTTTTATTTTTGCTTTTGGGTATTAGCTTACATAGCAGATCGAGATCTGGTTCAACCATCTGCCTTGTTATTGATCAGAAAGCACTAAAAATTCTATTCATTACCATGTTTCTATAATTCTTTGGACTAAAAATAGTGGGTCCACTAGAAGATGATGTAAAAAGTCTAGAGAACTTTGATAAGAGAGAGGTATATGATTGAAGCAGCTCACTGATTTTATCTTCGATATTGTTTTGTGAGACAGACAAATCTTTCAATTTTTTTCTATTCTATATAGAGCTGTCTATTTGGAACACAGTTTACTTAGCCAGAGGTTGTGATGTCATCAGATTGTTTTGACTCATGAGCATGCTGATGCAACTCTTGGCTTGGATGATATCCGTGCAGTGCAACCATTTAGCCCAACAAATGACATTGATCCGACACCAGTGTACCTGACTCAATATTCAATGGATAGGTACTTTGATGAAAATTTTTGCTGCTTGTATATGTTTACCGGTGATAACAAAAAAACAATAATGAGAGAAAGAAAGAAAGAAAGAGTATGACGGAGAAGATGGCTTGAAAGTCCGTCTGTGAATTCCTCCTCAATTTGGAAAATAACATTTACTAACATTTAGTTGAACATCCTGTCATGATGTGGACTTTCTGCTTTTATTATTACTTCCATGACTGTACAATGTTTATTCTAATTTAGTGGTTTACTGTTGAAGTATGTGATACAGGTTTTCATTGTACTAATAAAGATTTTTTCTTCATCAAAGCTACGGATAAAACTTCCCCCTTGCATGAAAGAATGTAAAAGGTGTAATTTGTTGGGATCTCACTATTCCTCTCTGCTGTTACTTCTGCCATAATTTCCTTTAGTCCTTGATTCATCAATAAAAAGTACCTCTCTAGATTTCACTAATAAACAATTATTGTAGTTACAGTAAAGTAATGACACTGAAAATATGTGCATGTGTACTAAACATGGCAAGCTCTTCTGTATCATCTTTGGAATTTATATATAATCATGTTTCATTTATGCACCATTTGCTTCTTGTGCAATTTTTCTGATTCTCCTAGAGTTCTTTTTCTAAAACAGCATTGTTCAGAAATTCCCTTACTTAGTCCAGAAGAAACTTAAGGAAGGCCAGGAAATTAGACGCGTGTCACAACTTGATTGGCAGATCATTGAAAATGATTGTGAAAAGCCCTTTGTTACATCAGGACTAGAATTTGTTCCGTTGCCAGTGAGTTTTAGCGTACCTCCTTTTATTCTAATGCACTCAATATTTCCTTGTGTCTTGTCTTTTTAAACTTGTGGAGTTTGGATGTAGGTAATGCATGGCGAAGATTATGTGTGCTTGGGGTTTCTTTTTGGTAAAAAATTCAGAGTTGCATATATATCTGATGTTTCACGCTTTCTTGCAACTACTGTATCCTGTGAGTATTATCTCTATCCCTCTGGTATGTGGGATTTGCTTTTTGATCATTGTTGACCTTACCTTTTCACACAAAGAACTGAATATTCCATCCAGTCACTGGATAGTTGAAGCCTCGTGGTCTAGTTCTCATTAGACGGAATTGTGTATATTCCTGATAAATGAAGGAAGGTTGAGTCTTGTTAAGGAAGAAATTTTTTTGCAGACATTTCGAAAGATAATGGTCAACAACTAGATCTGCTTATTTTGGACACTCTCTATAAGGTCAGTATAGGCATTGTAAAAATTCAAGTATTTGATTACATCTAGCCGTTATTCATTCTAAATTCTAATGCATGTCTATGTCATTAAATTTTAAAGCAATAGTGACCACTTGCATAATCTATGTGGTATATGACCATATGAACATGATTTGATTGTTACTAGTATGCATAGCAGAAGATTATGTCTGTGCATTCTCATTGTTGGTTATTCTTCAAGATCTCACTTCAATAGCATAGTTACTATATTTCCTCTTTATACCAACCCAATGATTGTCACCATGAGTGGAGCAACCATTTGCATATATGTTGTACTATAGATATATTCTTGTTTTTGTTTTGGATAACAGTGATATTTAGATTTATATGTGCACGCCTTGGCTAATCTACTGAGCACCCGCTTACCCCCACAAGTATAAATAATGGATAACTCTGTCCATCAAAATTAAAAAAGATGGAAAGAGAATAACCTGACCTTTGCGTCTTCTGGGATTTGAACCTCGGTATCCCATGGTCCATTCCTGCTTCATTGATCACTAAGACACATCCTTGGGTGTTAGATATAGTTTAGTTTTTTCTCAAATGATCCTCAAAACATGAATTACCAGCTTGGAGACTGCACCCAATTTACTATTTAGAAAAATGAAATGAGTCTTAAGGGGGATGGTTTGAGTGGTTGAAGAGTAGGGAGTTATAACTTGGAGACCAGTTCTGATTCCTAGCTACAACAATCAATGTGATCCCACTGCTCCTTTGGTGAGTATAGGTATACATGACACCTGTGTTTGGCTTGTAAACCATAATAATTTAGCCGAGGAATTAGTTAAGTATATGCAATGAGCACAAGTGTTGGAAGGCATACACAACTTGAGGCCCACAATGTTAAGAAAAAGTTGCCACAGGAGACCAGTGACAGAGCAATGAAGAAACAGATGGCTAATGGATTCTGTTTCTAAACCACAAAAGGACAAGCTAGAGCGTAATTAGAATCCCCTTCTCTTTAATTTCTCGTCAGTCAGGGCTCAGGCAAGCCTCTCTTGTCACTAACCAGGAGAAACACAACTTTTATGGGGACCTTGACTTCCCAAATATATCTCCAGGGCCACTGTGCTATTTGCTGATGCAAATTACAATGTATGGTAAGAAGAATTCACTGAAAAAACACCATCTTTGCCAGGTTTCCAGTAAAGCTTATCACAAACTGTTATTCTTTGAAATCTTCTAGAGTCTTCAAAAATTCCACAACTCCTACTTCCCAGTCATTTCGGGCCCTTCTAAAGTAATACTGCACCTTTGAATATCCCAGATTGTATCTAATCTTGCTTCGGGGAGGGAAGCAATGTTGTAAAGGTAGATAGCCCTACCCCATATAGACAGTAGGTGGATAGCCCTATCTTACACATCCCAAAATGGCTGCCAATGTTTGAATATCCTCTGCTTCTTTAACGGAATAAATCATACTCTTCCTGCAGTTTACATAAAACCCTGAGACTGCCAAAAAATTACTAGAATCAGTCTTAGTACCATAATTGTTCTGCCTTAACTTTACAAATACCAATGAATCAATCAACATAAAGAAGACGTGTGATCTCCACATTTTCCCCTTCGCTGTTAGAAGTATTGAAGTCTATTAACCAGTCATTCCGCTTGCACACTTTAGCATTTTATTCAGACCTTCCATGACAAAGAGGGACAAGAAAGGTGATAACTCAAACTTCTCTGAGAAGAGAAAAATCCTTCAAAAGGGTGTGTAATGTAAGTGAGGGTGCACCCCCTTTTCCCCTTTTTTTTGTTAGCAAAAAGTGGTTGGACCCATTTACCAAAGTACAGAACCCGGCAACCCGCTGTCTTAATACAAAAAGCTATCCTGTTGATCCACTTCCTGCCAAAACCCATATCCTTGAGCACCTTGAGAAAGAAACTCCAGTGAACATGATCACAGGCCTTCTCACATCAAGCTTACAAAGAATACTAGATTCTTGCTCTTATAATCTAGCCTCCAGATATCAGTGGCCATGCATCCATGATCTGTCTGCCTTCTAAAAATGCCACCTGGTTCCCATTGAACGGCTCATCATCAGCCACTTTCTTCAACATCTCTGTCAAATTTTTTGAAATTATCTTGTGCACAGTTTTATTTAACTAATAGGTTTGAAGTCCTTATGTTCCTTCGTGCTACTTCTTTTGGGGGATGAGAGCAATATAGGAAGCATTAAAGCACTTCTCAAAGTACTCATTGCATTGAAAGTTCTTGATGGTATCCTTAACATCTTCTTTCACAATCTCCCAGTACTTATGAAAGAAGCCCACAGAGAAACCATCCGGGACCAGGTGCCTTATCTGCTGCACAAAGTCTCAGACTCTCCACCACCTCCTGTTTTTCATTCTTTCTCTTTGCTGAAATTCTAGTGCCACCTTGATACGAGAATTGAGGCCTCCAACTTTCTTTTTTTTTTAGTAGAGATTATGATAAGACACAATCTCCTTCCTAATCCCTACTGGATAAGTGATTAGGTTCCCCTGTACCTCTAGCTTATCCATATGATTAAATCTTCTGTGGGAATTTGTCATTTTCTAAAAAACTTGGTGTTTTTATCTCCTTGCTTCAACCATAATGTTTTGGACCTCTACCTCCATGAGATCTCTTCTTTCTTTTTTTCCTGCCATATCCTGGAATTCCATATGTAATGATGCCTTCTCCAGAAACTCATTTTCATTTAGTGGCCTTTGTTCCTGCTAAGCATCGAAACTGTTAATTTGATTTAAAAGCCTGATCTTCTTCTTCTGCAGGTTCCCTTCATAAGCAATGTTCCATTCCGTTAACTTGGGTATTAACAGTTAAGTTTTCTAGCCAAGATATTTCAGGCCTTCCTGATATTTCAAAAGATATCCACCGCCCTTCTACTCTTTCCTTAAATCCTTCCACCTCCATCCACCAATTTTCAAATTTGAAATAGCCTTTTGTAAAATCCCATTCCCCACAATTCAAAAAGACAGGCACACAATTCTAGGCAACAGGCTATTTTTATTTTAATGAATTCCTCATCCCATTCAGATGAGAAGAGAAATCTATCTAATCTTGAAAAGCACTCATGAAGATTTTCTTTGCCCCAACTCCCAAGTATGTTTTCTTCCAAGTAAAGGAGGATTGACAAGCTTCAAATATTCGATGGTTTCAGAAAATTATGTCATTGCCCTGGAAACCCCTTTGCTATTCTTCTTTTCTGTAGCATATCTAGTGATGTTGAAGTTTCCACAATCATCCAAGTCCCTTCAATACCCCTCTGATACCATCCATTTCCCACCATAATTCTCTTCGAATATTAGGAGTATGATTCTTCTATCTTAGTCTATAAATCTTCTGCATTTCTGCAGTCATTTAACTTCAATATTGTTGATTAGTGTTCAAAGATACAGCACGTTCTGCATACAATCATCCATTATCAATATATTTAGAAGCCTGGACTATACCATCATCGATTATCTATTAGATCTTAAGTTTGGACTCCCGCGGTGAAAAATAGGGTGAAATGGATTAACCCATTGAGTTCCATCCTAATTATAAATACCCCATCTATTCAGAATATAACAGATCTCCAACTAGCTATTTGTGACCTACCAACCAAGCACTAATCATGCTATGAGTAAATGTTATACTCCAAGCTTCAATTGGTTAACAAATTTATAATTAGAAACTAGAAAGGAGGAACTGTAGAAATTCCACATGAGGTGCTATTCATGGTTAGAACTAATAAAGGGATATTTGCAAGTGCTGCAAGGGCGGAGTTTACTTACAGTAGAAGAAAAGGAATTTTCAGCCGATTTAAGAAAGGGATAGTACATAAGTATACCTTTCAACTTGTTTTGAAGATTCAACTACACCTTTAAACTTTGGAGGAAACCTATTACTTGTCATTGTTTGAACTGCAACTCCTGCCATCCTGAGAGGGTTATAACCATAATAAGATGAGAACATGGTGCTTTTTTGCTGAGGCACCAACTATAAATGGTTGCTGGACCCTTATAAACCCTAACACTCAGCTTATTCAACAATTTTAAAATTGCTTTTCTCCTCCTTTTTTTGTGTATATTTTCCATCTAGATTGATATATACAATACATGCTATTGTAAATGATTTGGTGTTCTTTTTATTTAGGCTAGTAGTCTTATTTTATCTGGTACTTGATTTTTTCTTCAATATGTGCAGAACGGTTCCCACAATGTTCATCTTTGCCTTAGTCAGGTGTGCTTACTTTATAGGAACTCTCTGTTTGAACTTTCTGTTGTTCATGCCCTATTTTAACATCTGAAAATATATATTTTTTCCAAGACTCTCGGGGCGTTGAAGATGCTATGCCCAAAGAGGGCTCTACTAATTGGAATGACTCATGAATTTGACCACCACAAAGATAATGAATTCCTTGTGGAATGGTCTAGAAGGTATTACCCTCTAAGTGGTTCTATAGAGGAAAGAGGGGGGGGGGGGGGGTTTGCAAATTTTATGATTTAGCAGCTTATCTAGAACTTTACATGATTATTTGCTTGCAGAGAAGGTATACCAGTTCAACTTGCACATGATGGATTGAGGATCCCCGTTAACCTATAAAGAGGTATTATAATATCTCAGACATGTCTTCCATGATAGAACTTCCTTAAATTATCTACTTACATTGGAGAATGTTAGGAGTCATGATATATGACTGTAAACCAAGAAGCATGTAACTTCTCAATGATTGTGGTATACAAATTAGCTCTTCAACAGTATATTGGATTTTAGTAACAATCTAAGCGACTGGAATGTTCCTATTCTATGCACTCCGAAAATAGTAATGTTGACATCATTTGAAAATGCTAATTAGCAATAGTATATCTGTCAGTATGACCAAAAGTATTCAACCATGACCTCAGTGATCGTTGATTAAACTGCTAGTCGCATGATAGAAAAGGACAAGCTTAATGATAGTCTTTCACGGAATGTCATATTATAAGCCTTGATATAGAAGCTTCTTCTGCCTTGTTATTACAGTATTCTAGATGACATCTGATTGGTCAAAGATTGCTCTGTTTGGCATGAGAAAAAATGGTTTATCAAGTTTAGATCACTAAACTTGTACCAATGTTGTTTTAGGATGAGAATTAATTTTCTATAGCTGTTCTATTCTTATAACACTCAACTTGCTACCTCCAACTATTTAGTATTGTATCGGAACTAGTATCAATTATTAGTTAACATATGCTACCTGCATTTTCAGGACTCCCACAGTTGCTACCTTTTATATGAAATTATTGGTGAAATAGTTTTCTTTTGTAAAAAATATATTCATACAGAACATTTCATGTTATTGCGACTAACTCATAATCTCAACCAGATGATACTGCTAAATGGACAAAAGAGAATGCCTAAAGACTGAGTAAAGGCTCTGAGAGCATCCTTTTGATCTGTTACTGGAAATAGATTATATTTATGGAAATAGTTGATGTTGACGTTCACCAGATTATACTTGTGTATATTGTTGTATTCTTATCATTTTGTCAAGAATGCAAGGTGTATGGAGTTGAATATTAATCATTTGTTAAGTTTATACGAAAATGAAGCTTTTAATGGCAATTTTATTTCCTGAATCTGAGAATTAGGACTCCGCTCAGGAAATAATGATAGGTAGAGAGAAGAGGTGTCAAAACATGCTAGCCTAGCTGGAGAAGTCTCTAGTCAATTGGGTTGGACAATCCTTTTTTTGCAGCTGTAATAATTGTAGGAGCACAACTGGAGTATAAAGGAGTAGCACATAGATCCAACTTCAATTGCTAAATATCATTTTAATATTCCTGAATTAAGAATTCTTTCTCGATAATTTTATCAAAGTTAGATCTAGCTTTGCAACATGTTACTTGTGGAAGAGGAGGGTGCTTAAGTTCTAGGAGCTGATTAATCTTGGACACTATAAGTGGCTCAGACACTTGCTCTAAATTATGATTTTAGGGAACAAGTGAATGATATATATATGTATGTAATGATATCAAACATAGGTCACATAAGATAGTGTATATATAGGGAATATAATGTCGCAAGAAGTTGATCAAGGTTGTTGAAATGAATTAGAGGGTAGGAGTTGTAGATTCTGAATTCGTTTCTACTCACAAACAAATACTTTATTTATTTAGGAATAAAGTAAAGATTAGAGAGGTCCAATGGATGAGGTGGCCACATTTGTCATACTCATACATGGTGAAGTCAAGTGATTGATAGTAACTTCGACAAATTTGTTATTTTTAATGTCCTTCATCTTACATCTAACATCACATGTATTTGGGTCCTATCTTACAAACTTCGTTACGTTCACTATTCTTCAGATTTCAATATTTTAATTTCAACTTTTAGTGTGTTATTTAAGACAAAAATCATTTTAATATTATTTGATATAAAATCACAAAATTATTTTTTTATTTTAAAAAAATAAATAAATAAAAATCATGTCAAGTTAAATTAATTGGAGTAATCTACAGGAAATACAAACAACACTAATTTTAAGTGATAAATCATAAAATTTTCCATGTGACGAGTGATGATGATGCAAAGAGTAATCTTAAGTGGCGGCTTGAATATTCTAGTGATAAATTGTATTTAATTTTGTTCACCTCTCCGTCACATTTTCGGTCTTACACACATTATATAAAAACAAGAGTCTTATAGACCTAAACTTAAAATTATTAATTTGGGTAGAGTTCGAATTTTAACTTATATTTTTTCCCTCATAAAAAACATAAAAATTCAAATATGAGTTGAGCAGCTGTGACCGTTTGGAAAAAAGTTGCTTTTATGGTTGTTTGTAAACTAAGCATGGTAATAATATTTGCATGTAATACGCAAAATTTAAAATTATTGCCAAGCTTTAAATTGTAAAAAATTTGATGTTGAAAAATACCTTTGAGGTGAAATTTTATAGGCAATAAAAATTCCCTTGTTACTCTTATTGTGGTTGTTAGAGCAAATATACTCTGCATGATTTCTAAGCACCTTGAAAAACCAAGAACATAATTAATGAAACAATATTTAAGTCTATACGCACTACAAAAGCATATATATCAATTTCAGACAATAATGGATATGCACAAGTTGATCATTCAATTATTAATTAATTTATTTTTTGGTAATTAAAATTTTTATTTACTAAAGTGAACGTTACAAAACTGGAAAAAATAACAACATACTTGGGCACTTGCTGAAACATATCACACTATCTATCAGCGACTTCTTTCCTAAGGGTACACATTGAGTTCTCGAAGTCTATTGCGGATCTTCCTATAATGGGATCCTCTTCCATGTACATCTTTAATGATGTGTCTAATCTTGAACTCCTTGGCTTTGCTGGTGTTGCTCTTCATATATGTTGTTGCCCACTGTATTTCTTCATGTCACTTCCCTCCTATATGTTGTATTCCTTGTCAAGTTAGCAGCTTCTTCCATATTCCAGCAGTGAACATCCATGCAAAAAAGAGGTGATCGATCGATATCCTCATCCTCCACTTGACATACGGGACATGTCAAATTAGATGTTACTCTCCATTTTGTCATTCTGTCTTTCGTTAACAAACCTCCTATCTAGAGCTAAATACAGTACGAACAACCACTTTGGTGCACCATATTAGCTTTCTCCACTCCACTTTCTCCCCATCTCCTCTCATTTTTTCATAAACCTTCAAGTTCTCTTCCATTTGCTTTAAATTATGCTCATTGTAGTCAGCATGTTTATCTATGAGCTTTAAGAGTTCTTTGTACCAATCATAAAGCTTGATTTGCTTGGATGCCCCAAATTCCTTTTTGCCCCTAGTAACTATGTATCCATTCTACCCATAATATGTCCTTTTTCTTATAGAGATTCCGTAGTAACTTCCCAATGGCTCCAGATAAACACATTTAGAGAATAAAAACCTCCACTTGTTTTGGGCCAACATAGCTTCTCCCATGCTATTTATGCTTCTTTTGATGCCTCCACACTACCTGTCCACAAAAACTTTCTACATATACCCTCAATAGCACGTAGGATCTTCTTAGGAAGCGCAAAGATTTGTGCCTAAAAGGTTTCTACAGGAAACAAGACACTCTTCATCAATTGAGCTCTGCCAACCTAAGAGAGGATTTGTTTTGTTGACTCTATTCAGCATTTTGCCAACAAGGGGTTTACATTGAACAATAGACACTCTCTTTGTACTCAAGAGGATTCCCAAGTACCTGAATGGGAGCTCTCCTGTAGTATTTGCTCCTGTTTTATCCTTCTAAAATATACACAACTTTTGTCGATATTTGCCACCAGCCCTGATGCGTTAGAAAAAATCATAAATCATTTGTATAAGCTTCTAATATACTTGATTTCACCCCTACAGAACATCAGTAAATCATCTGCAAAACTCAACTGGATAATTCACTGTTTCTTACACCTTGGATGGTAATGGAACTCAAGATTTGTAGAATTTTTAACCAAATTAAGCCATTATATAAAACAATTTACCAAAGTAATACATTTTTCTAAAATTTTACAAAATTAGTATAAACTTATTTCACGGTAACGTTTTAGGGTATATTTTTTTTAAAAAAAACTAACAGGATTAGGTTGATATACGTTACTTAAGTAACGTTTTACTCCTAAAACGTTATTTTCAGTAACGTTTTACTCCTAAAACGTTACTGTGAGTAACGTATATCAATCTGACGCCATTAACTTATAAAAAATAAAATATATCCTAAAACGTTACTGTGGAATACGTTTATACTAGTTTTATAAAATTTTAGAAAAACATATTATTTTGATGAATAGATTTATATAATGGCTTGGTTTAGCTAAAACCTCAGATTTGTATGTAGACCTTGTTAATTTCTTGGTGAGATAATCAAGTATAATCTTCTTCCTTTTTTTTTTGTGAAATATGAGATATTTTAAATGGAAAAATTCTTTTGGCCAGAAAAGTAAAAGACATGTATTAGTTTCATTATGGACAATTTTACCGTATTAGCTTGAAAATCAAATACATCCTTTGGATCTCTATATCCTTCCTATGTTTTCAATATATTGAAAATTAATAATGATTCCATAGTCAATTGTGACAAGACAACAAATTTCAACAAAAAGAATTAAGTGATCTCATGCAATCTATTAAAAAAAAGTTCAGTTTATGTATGTTTTATAAAAAAAAAATTGTAGCATCAGTAGTAAAAGTAATATTTTTTTGAATTAAATCATATTCTTGTTGGTTGTATTAGAATAAGAAAAATTTCAAGTAAAATTTCACATTATATTCTTGTTGATTGTATTGGACTGAATAACTTATTTATAATTAAAATAAATGTTTGAGTTATATTATGATGTTATCAAGTAAATATATTCGAGGGGAAATAAATTAAGGATTAAGGATCATATTGTTGAACCAATAAAAATTTTGTTACAGTGAATATGAATCTCTTCAACTTGAAAATATTATAATTTTTCAAATTAAATTTATATTTTCACCTATATATATATATATTAATATTATTTCTATTTCTTGTTTATGTTATATATCTTTTATAAGTTTGGTATAGAATCACTAAAATCTTATAGATATTTCACATTGTATTCTTGTTGGTTGTATTATAATAATAATATAAAATATCTAACTAATATTACAACAGATTATGAGCAAAAGATTAGTGTTAACTAAATTTACTTAATATTAATTTCTTATTCAAATATAATAGTTAAAAAAAGATAGTTAATTAGAATTTGTTGGTCATTTTAGTAAAATATAATAATAATTCATAATTATCAAATTGACGTAGGGGATAAAATTTGTATGATTAATACTATTAAAGTTTTGACATATATGAACTATACACGATTTTTATTACTATTGATATTTATCGGGTTTAATATCTTTTGGCTTATCGTTTATCTCAACATTTTACAAATTACATTTAAAAATTATTTCAAATATATTGTTTAATTTCATTGAAACAAGTTAAAAAAGCTACTTACTTGGAGGTCGTTATTTTAGTTTTTAAAAAAGTATAGGTAATGATTCACAATTTATCAAATTGACGTAGCATAGGAGATAAGACTTGTAGGATCAATACTAGTAATGTCTGGCTCTCTTTGGTTCGACATGTATGAGATATATGCATGATTTAACTATTGACATTTACCAGGTCTAGTGTGTTTTGAGTTGTCATTATCCCAACATTTTACAAATTACATTTAAATATTACTTATTATATAGTTTAATTTTATTCAAACAAAATAATTAAGCAAATTACATAGTTGGAGGTCAACTTAGTAACAAGCATTAGTGATGATTCATAATTTCTCAAATCGATATAATATAGGAGATAAAACTTATGTCATTAATAGTATATGTCTGACTCTCTTTGATTCGACACATATGAACTATATGCATGATTTTTTTAATACACGACATTCACGAAGTCTAATATGTTTTAAGTTATTGTTATCTCAATATCTTGTAAATTACATTTAAAATAATTAAATTATAAAATTTTATTTTATTCAAACATAATAATTTATAAAAATTACTTAATTGGATGTCGTTTTAGTAACGAATATAACTAATGATTCACAA